CTGTCTTGCATTGGCTCTGCTTGACATCCCTCTCTTCTCCACCTCCGCGGTTAGGTCTCAATGTGGGTGACGATGGTTATATTTAGCAATCTTGATGGAATTCCTCCATGATTATGAACCCAACGGGCTTCCAAGCCTATGTACATATGATGATTCGACTGTCGCCTCGTCGCCCCGGCGCGTCATCAAACCATCGACTCCTGCTTGCCACCTCAAGTAACCCCCCCCCCTCCCCCTTCTTCAGGAAAACATCCCCCCCTCGTCCTATAACTATGTCCCTCCGGTCTCCTGCCTAGGGAGCTGAAACACGGCGCCTACATTTTCATCCTCCGCTCCTAACAATCCCTTTTTGAAATCATTAGTATGTATCCTGCCACACTCGGTGTTTGTGATTTTATTTACTCGATGGAAACGGAGTACTCGGACACCTTCAGCTCGGCGTTGCTACCGGTGAAGGGCTCGGTACCCGCCTCAAGGGTGGTCAGGTACAGGCTGTCAGAGACACCCTCGTTGTCCACCAGGTAGGTGAAGAAGTCGTTCAGGTCACCGGAGAAGTCCTCGGTGGTCGACTGGGCGACGAAGCTGTAGACGGTGGTGTCGCCGTTGGGGCCGGTGTACAGGTCCCAGGTCACGCCGTTGATCGTCGGAGTGGCAATGGTGGAGCCGGTCGACGAGATGGGGCCAGCACCGCCGAGAGCAGCAAGCCAGACCATGATCTCGTACTCATCGGAAGAGGCGTCGGCGGTCGAGCCCAGGAACATGTCGTAGGCCACGTCGGCCACGATATCGGAGCCAGAGTAACTATTCCCAAAGAGTCAGCATGCGTCCTGATGGTCGGTCGGAAGGTTTAGGCTGCAACATACGTCCACTTCCAGGTGGAGGGGATGCTAGAGATGGAGCTCAGCTGAGTACCAGTGAACTGCAGAGCAGCGTTGGCGTAGCTCTTGACGTCACTGCTGCCACCCTCCCAGGACCAGCTGGTGTGCCAGGCGATCTCGTTGCCGCTGGCCGAGTCGACGCCAGTGCACTGGGAGCCGCTGGAGGCGTTGTCTTCACCCCAGAGGTCGTTGTACAGGATGAAGTCACCGGCGGTGGCGGTACCCCATTGGTCGCAGAAGTCGCTGCGGCGGCTGATAGAGGCGGCCGAAGCCAAAGAAAGAAGAGCGGAAAGAGCGAGAACCTTCATGGTGACGGTGATTATTGGTCAAAGGAAAGACGAATGGTCGGGTAAAGTATTGATATTGGTGCAATGGTATTGGTGCAATGTGCGATCAACGTCCACTGACCCAGAGAATTATAGTGTATGAGCTGCTGAAGAGAAATCCATCTTCCTCCGACCGGGCTGCCTTCTTATAGCCATGGGTGTGCCGTCTAGGTCTTCTGGAACAGGATAAAATTAGGCATAGCCCTCATCAAGCAGAAACAGCCGGGGCGATTTAGCCTATGGACCTGCTGAGCTTGGTCCTCATGGCCGTTGAGACATGTGCACTCAAGAGTCAACGAAGGTTCTTGGAAACTCCGTCGCCGAATGGATCCTGACCCCGAGTGGACCAGGAGGGAGAAGGCCGATAGGATGAGTGTGGTGCTTGTTCCTGGTTTCGAAACGGTCCCACGGAATGCCCCGTGCAGAATGGAGGTCAACCAAACTCACGGACACGGTGGAAATATCCAGAGGAAGTTTAGATCAGGGGAATATCAGTGGATTCGTCATCTCGAGACGGTATAATGACTCGGATGAGAGGGGGGCAGCCACGGAGATGGTCCGTTTCGGATTAGATAACAGGATGCCGTTTAAATGAATGTCTAGGACGCCCGAGAGGGGCGTGGCTCGTCCGCAGGGTTCCAAAAGGTGGACAGCTTCATTAATCGATCGGACTAATCCCCAATCGGGCTCCGTCGAGACACATGGTGCTGTCAGGACTCAGAACAAGCTATTTTTGTGGACGGATTAATTTGACGTTTGGAGATGATCAAAGTAGAGTTAGTCGTACTACGGAGTAACTAACAGACTAGTTAACTAGTGAGTTTGACTCGGAGAAATGAATAATCACGGGATGATCAGAATGATAGTTTTGGCTTGTTTGACAGCCAGGCAAACACGGCCAAAAGCTGCTGTCTGGTGCTGACTCAGCCGGACCATCCTGGTAGCCTTCCCGGATCAGGCAACCCTGGAATTGAATATCCTCAATCCATCAATCAGAACAATAAAGAATAATCACCCCATCCTTTCCACGCCCTCTCCTCTCTTTCCCCTTCCCACGCCTTCCCCCCCTTCTCCACCACCCATTAGCTCTCTGCAGCTCCTGTTTTTCCGGTCAATTGCTTTCCCATCCGGAACAGTTCGTCATCATGCGCTGCGCTAGCTTCGCCGTGGCCCTCCTGGCCCTTTTCACCGGTCTCTACAGCTACCTGAACGCGCGGCTGGAGCAGTTCTACATCTTCGATCCTTCCCACCTGCACGACCTGTCGCAGCGCGCCATTGCTGCTCACGGTAATGACACCCGCTCGGTGGTCAACTTCATCGTCTCCGAGCTGGGCGAGAAGGTCACCGACACGCACCTGAACCTGGACGAGGAATGGGTGTTCAACAACGCCGGTGGTGCGATGGGGGCAATGTATATTATCCATGCTAGTGCGTCCCCTCTTTTGCTCCATTCCACCTCTATATTTATCCATAGTGTCTGTGCTAAGCTTTATTTTCCCTATAGGTATCACGGAGTACTTGATCATTTTCGGTATGGCTTCCCCTGTCTTCCGGGTATCTTTATGCCCCTTGATTGCACGTGCTAATACTCTCTCCTCATGCATTAGGCACCGCTATTGGTACTGAGGGCCACACTGGCCGTCACACGGCCGACGACTACTTCAACATCCTCCAGGGCACCCAGCTCGCCTATGTTCCTGGATCCTACGAGCCCGAGGTTTACCCCCAGGGTAGCGTGCACCACCTCCGCCGCGGTGAGGTCAAGCAGTACAAGATGGATGAGTCCTGCTTTGCTCTGGAGTACGCCCGTGGCTGGATCCCCCCGATGCTCTTCTTCGGATACGCCGATACCTTCTCCAGCACTCTCGACTTCCCGACCCTGTGGGCGACGTCGAGAATCACTGGTCGCGAGATGATCTCCAACCTGCTCAAGGGCAAGATGTAAACGATAAGATGGCGAGATGATGGGTATATGTATAATACTATTACTATTCTCACTATATTAGATAGACGACGACGTTGTCCGATAGAATACACTACCATTTAATAACGCTACCACAATTCATCCTTTCACCCCCCTTACCTCTTTCTCTTCTCCGTTGTGCCTGTTTATTTTTCACCCTTCCCGGGGAACTAACCACACAAACACTGCAAACACACCCACACCCTGACTCATCCAATCCCTTATCGATAAGCCAACATCCAGGCCCGCGAAATCAGTTTATCAAAAATTGCTCCCCTCATCGCCTCCACCATCACCCACTATACCCTCACCCTCAACCCCAGAACCACACCCACAAGCCACCACCATGCCCCCCTCCCCCTGCGCCCGCTGCCACGACCAACGGGCAGTAATCATCCGGCCCAAGAACAGGCAAAAGCTGTGCCGCACGTGCTTCCTACACGTCTTCGAAACCGAAGTCCACGAAACCATCACCTCGACCTCCCTCTTCTACCCTGGCGAACGAGTCGCCATCGGCGCCAGCGGCGGCAAAGACAGCACCGTTCTGGCCGCCGTCCTCAAGACTCTCAATGAACGCTACAACTACGGCCTCGACCTATGTCTCCTCTCCATCGACGAAGGCATCAAGGGTTACCGCGACGACAGTCTCGAGACCGTGAAACGCAACGCCCAACAATACAACATGCCACTCGTAATCGTCAGCTACGGCGACCTATACGGTTGGACCATGGACCAGGTCGTAGCGCAGGTCGGCAAAAAGGGAAACTGCACATACTGCGGGGTATTTCGGCGGCAGGCGCTGGATCGCGGGGCCGCAAAGCTGGGCATTAAGCATGTGGTGACAGGTCATAATGCGGATGATGTGGCGGAGACGGTAATGATGAACTTGCTGAGAGGGGATTTACCGCGCTTGTCGAGGGGTACGAGTATTGTGACGGGGTCCGCGGCTAGTGATATCAAGAGGAGTAAGCCGTTGAAGTATGCTTATGAGAAGGAGATTGTGCTGTATGCGCATCATCGCCAGTTGGATTATTTCTCCACGGAGTGTATCTATTCGCCGGAGGCGTTTCGGGGCAGTGCGAGGACGTTGATCAAGGATTTGGAGAAGATTAGGCCGTCTTCGATTTTGGATATCGTTAAGTCTGGGGAGGATATGGCGCTTTTGGTGCCCGCTGAGGTCAGAGGGAAGGGGGGTGAGGATGAGGAGGGTGGCGGTGGTGGTGGGTGTGGAAGTCAGAATGGGAGGACGAGGGGTGGGGAGATGGCGGAGATGGAGAGGAAGCTGAAGGAGGATGAGGCTGCCAAGGATAGGGAGATGGAGATTACTTCTGATAGCGTGCCTAAGAAGCAGCAGCAGCAGTCAGAGCAGGTGCAGACGCCGGCACAGAAGAAGGTCAAGTCGCAGGTACTGGGGACGTGTGAGCGCTGCGGGTATATCTCCAGTCAGCGCGTGTGCAAGGCTTGTACGCTGCTGGAGGGATTGAATAAGAATCGGCCCAAGACGGCGATTGAGATGGAGGTTGGCTTGGAGGATGAGGAGAGCAGCTCGACGTTGCGCCGGCAGATGGAGAAAGTTGAGCTGGGAGGTGTTTGAAGATATATAGTTATGCCCGTTATACATATACCCATGATCACAGAGTTATATTATTAGAAGCAAAGTTCAGCTTCAATCAACAGACTACTAGTACTGTAAATAAAACGACAGTCTTAAAAGAGGATTACCAGTACCATCATAATCTCACTTCTGAACATAATATATCCATCCCATGTGACTGACAAGTATGACCTACGTACTAATACATGCCAGCCATACTATGTATCTATCATACACCAGCCCATTCAGTCAGTCAGAGAAGACATCATAGTTCAAAGTAATACAATTAATAATGAACTCTACAACAACACAGAACTTCCTCATACCATCTCAACAACGCCCCTCTAAAAAGACCCTCAAAATCAATCATCATATTTTATCTATAATACAACCCTCTCCCCGACCATATCATACAAAATATCATACAAAACCCCCCTAATCCCAACACAAAAGCCACAAATGACTCACAAATTTAGAGAAAAAAAAAAATATACACCCAAAACTCCACCCATGACATATTTTATCCCACCTTCTTCTACCCTCCATCCACCTATCCATACATCCCCACCTCAAGTATCTACCCCAACCATATATCAATCTATTCACTCATCCTTCTCCTTCCCCGCCTCAACAGGCAAATCCCACCCGACCCGCCTAGCCGTCAACCGAATCCTCTCCTCCTCATCGAGGGTAGTACCGGGGTTATATCTCTCGACGAGCTCGGCATACACGCGCTGGGCTTTAGCGTAGATAGCGAACTGGTTTGCCTGGTCGAGGCGATGTTGGCGGAGGGATTCTTGTGCGTCTGCGTCCACAACACCCTGGTTGTTGGTGGTGGTGTACATGTCGCGGAGGCGGTGTTGGAGAGGAGTAGGAGTGGAGAGGGTCCGGCGGGGGAGTTCGCGGAGGAGGGCGCGGTAGGTTGTGGTTGTTTTCGCGGCTGTGGACATTTTGATTTCTTTTCTTTTCTTTTCTTTTTTTTCCTTTCCCTTTGGAATGGAGGAGGAGGTGTTTAGTTTGGGTGGATTGGTATAGGTTTGGGTGGTGGATTTGATGATGGGTGTGGGATGGATGGCTACGGATAAGTTTACGGAGGATGCGGTGTATATCACGTGATTTCACATTTCTTTCTCTCTCTCTCTAAGTTTGTAGCAGGATATGGATGGGGTTGTGTGTAGTAGAAAAACTACATTATGTACATCATCATCAATCAAATGACGATCATCATTCATTGTACTCGTCAGCTTGGTAGTTGCTGTTGCTGTTGCAGACTCTGCTGCAACTAATCATAACTCTCCCTCTCTCTCGTCTCTCACGACCGTAACCAGCCGAACTTCTTGCGTCCGGTGTCGCCGCCTGCCGAGGGTTCGACTTGCATACTGCGCGAATACAAGTCCTGGTGATTGTCAGCATCATAGAAAATGGAATGGGTTAATGGTGGAAAGGGGAAGGGGTGTACCTCGTCATCCCCCGACAGCTTAATCTCCAATATCAACCGTTCTACCTCCTCGTACTTGGACATATGCGGATACGGTGTCTTCTGGCTGCGCTGGATTCCCAGAACCACCTCTCCCATTACCTCAAACTTGCGCCAGTTGATGCGGTTCTTGTTGTCGCCCACAAACGTCTTGTTGCCCTCCTCCGCTGACACCAGATCGCGTCGGTGCAACGGCAGGAACGGGATGCGCTCCGCAAAGGAATTGTCCCATGCGAGACGATACGCAAAATGACTCTTCTGTGTCCCCATGAGGATGACCAGCCTCATGAAGTCTTTTTGTGTCTGCACCGGGACCAGGTCCCGTGTCTGGGACAGTCGGTGTACCGGGGTTCCGTTGATGCCGGCGATCACGGCCCCGAGAGAATTGTAGTTGTTAAGTCGGCGGAGTTTCTGCGGCTGTCAGACAATGTCTCGGCGCTATTCTTCCGAGTCAGACTTACCAATGCTATGTTCATGAATTTCTCAAGCGCCTTGGCCCGATGCTTCGGCTTGTCCCGAAGTAGGATGACGCTGGCTACGAAGAATGCGACATGGTTGAACTGCTTGATCATCCGGTTGACGTGCTTCAAGCTCAAAATCTTATCCTTCTCCACGCCGGAGATGCTGACATGTCGCACAAGGTCTCGCGGTCGGAAAGAATTGAACATGATCCAGTCCATGCGCGTCAGCTCCCGTGCGAAATCCTCATCTGGGATCTCCATCAGCTGGCGCCATTGGATTTTCGTTAGCGGGATGCGTGGCGTGAGATCCAGATTATGCGCCTCCCGTTGCGCAGCTTCGGTACTCAGGAATGTGAACGACTGGCTGGCAATGGTCCCGGGCTTTTCGGAGGTAAACGAATTCGACATCGACCCCGACAGTCTCGACGCAGGCTCGGCTGCACCTTCGCTAAGGTCCAAAGCGCTCATGTTGTAAATAGGGTCCTCTTCCTCTTCCTCGCCTTCATCGCCTAGCGGCGGCGCCCCAAGGAAAATTGATGGTGAGCTGCGCCCGGAAAACTGGAACGGGGGGTCGGCAGTGTCAGGTTCTTCCATGTCGCCATCCCTATACGGCCACCCGATATTATCGTCATCTGCATTCCCCTCCAGATACGATCCGATCTCCTTGGCGGCAAACATGTAAAAGTGGCTCTTCTCCAGCGTCGTGACGAAATCGGTGATTCGCTTGCGAGTCTTCGGGTACGCCAAGTCGCCCGGATATTCAGAAACCCACTGCGCCATCACTCCCAGCAGCCTCAGCTGAACTGCGATGCGGTCGAGCTGGTCCGTCATGTCGTTCTCATTCCGTTCGAATCGGTTAATCAGAGCATTCAGCAAGGTGCACGGCGCGGCGAACTTGCGATAGAGACACAAAAAGATAGACGCGAACTTCGAATCTTGCTTTGACATCGGTTGTGCGACCAGACGATCTACTAGCTCGTCAAAGGTGAAGCCGGCATCATTCGATGAGCTCTCGCTAGGCGTCTGGTCCTTGCTTCCCGGGCTCGACGGAGCACTCCGGGGCCCATCGAAGTCCTCCCCCATCTCTAGAAAGTTGCTGAACGCATCTGACCCGCCGCTGTTGCGCCAGGCCGTGTGAAGTCGATGTTGTCGGTTGAGATCCTTACTTGGTGACGACTCCCCGGATACAGACTGTTTGCGCGAGGCCAACCGGGACCCCGAGGGAGGCGTATGCGGTCGCACCGGATGCGAGTTGCTCCGGGCGTAACGAAAGGCCTGGCCATTGGAAGCCAGGTTGGCAGAGGTGGCCGGGTCGGTGGGTTGCCGGTCTACACCGTACCCATCGACAGCTGGATCAAGAGGTCCTGTGATTGGGCCGCCTGCGGCTCCGGATAATACAGCGGTGGGGGTCTCTGAATTGGTGCGGCTGTGATGCCAGTCTGGGGTGGCGGATGAGTTGGAGGGGAAATCGATGAAGTCTAAAAGAGGAGCCGTTAGCATCCACGTGTGAACCAGACCAGCGGGAAAATAACGGCCACAGGAATTGGGTGGTCCAGCTCGGGTCCAGCGCAAGAGCAGCTGGACCGCAGCTGGACCCGAGGGATCGGCGGGTCCTGAAAACCACTGCACCACGAGATACGCGAACGCTAAACGCACGCCGCGCCGCAAACTAGCGCGAAACCCAGTGGGCCATCACTCTAAGGGATGGGCTATAGCCGGGGGGGCGACGCAATGCGAGCAGACAGATGGCCACCGAGGCAGTGGACCGTTCCGCCCTGTTCTTTGGCTTTCCTCGCCTCTCGCGTATCCACATGGCAATCGCATAGGTCAGCTTGTCCACTTACCATATTTACGGTTGATCACAGAGCGCAGAACTAAGGCAATGCACATCTTCTGCGACCGTGGTGAGTCAGGTGAGGTCCGGTGGATTTCATAGCCACCCAATATTGGCTCCACAGGGCTGTCAGGGGGTTGTATGTCGCATTTGCTGGCCACCAGCGTAAAGGGTATGTCGGAAGCGGTTAAGGAGTCTGCAGTCCATCAGCCCACATCCTAGAGTCAAATTGCGCAGCGACCCGGCCGCTGCAGAACCGGCAATGCGACCAACCTAGTAGTTCGGTAAATTCAGGGAAACTGGCCGGTTGAGTCATATCCAGTAGAACCAGCACCCCATCCACTGTAGGAGGCGAGTCGCTACCCAGTAAGGGCCAGTTGACCTCGCCATTGCTCCCAATCGTAATTTCCAATGTATCTATCTCCATCAGGCGAACCAAGTACACCGTCCCGTCCAGGGACATCTTCTTTGTGGTCGATCGGGAAGTAAGCGGATGCTTCATGTCCAAGGCGGTTTCAATGAATGTCGATTTTCCGACATGGTCAGGACCGACCACCGCGATGCTCACATGGGGGAAACTCGGCTTCGGCGTTGTCTGCGGTACACGCACGGGGGTCAGAAAAACATTGCGCTCGCCAAGGGTCCAATGACATGAGTTTGGAATAGCCATACCTCCTCACGGGTTGATGATGGCACCCTATCCCCTCCGGCCGATGGCGGGTTCTCATCCTCCTCCAGAAGTGTCCGGTCGACCTTATTCCCCGATTCCATCGCCGTTCTAGCCGAATCAAGTCGGTACAAACCTCCGACGGGAGCAGAAATCGTTCGACTGGGAAGGCCCGGTCGTTGTGGGAATGGCGCAGCATCGGCTTTATCGCTAGATGCTCGTTCTCTTCGCAAGGGCTGGGAGGCCATGGTGACGATGTGGCTTTACTTTCTTTTTTTTTTTGTTTCTGCGCGAACGGATGGGCGGTGCTGTGGCGCGAGTAGGGTCCGGTCGAACAAACAAGGTGCGACAGCGCAGGGTCCAACAGCTACGTAAGTGAGTGAGGCGGACACGACAGCTCATCCATTGTCGCTTGGGTGGAAAACGTAGAAAAGGTCCAGGCTTCGTCGGGTTCGCCGCAATCGAAAGATTTCCAAGAGGCTGCTCGAATCAGCTCGGGGGGGTTAATGTTCCCCTTTTATCTTCGGTTGTTTGTGGTGGTTAAATTTCGATGATGATTAGCTGAGTGATTTTTTTTTATTGTCGTCTGCCTCGTTTTTCTTCTTTCTTTTCTTTTTCTCCGTCTTTCCTTTTCCTGCTTTTCTCGACTATCGTGGATCTCGTCGGCTGAGGCAGGTTACCGGAGCTGGACACAGGTAGAACCCAAGTTAGCAACAGAAACAACAATGGTACCGGCAAGAGGGTCGCACAAGTCTTACGAGAACTCGTCCGGGTTGGCAAATCGACCAGGGGGGCAGTAAGAGCTATGAGTGGCAGCGAAGAAACAGAGGGGTGTCAGGGAGAGAGCAGCTTGAGGAAGTGCTGCCAGTTGCAGGCGGGAAGATGTCACTCGACCGAAAAATTGAGCCCCCAAAGAGTCAGTCAGAAGTTGGGGCAGTTTGGGGTGGAGGCTGCGGGCGGGGAGATTTGGAAAGTAAGTCTGGTTTGGTTTTAACCCTCTCTCTCCAACGGCAGGTTTGATTATTCTTATTATGGTTATGCTTTTGTGTTTCGAAATTCTTATTATTAGAAACACCGGGGCACTTCTATGGGTCAATCCGGCAGAATCCCTAGCGGAGCAACACAATGGCAGGACATCCCAGGCCAACTGGGGAGGATTGTGATCTTACTAAAATCGACCTTGTGTGTCCCGCCGCCCGCCTTTTCTCTCCTCACGGCTTTCCCTTCCTCCTCACCAAACTCTCCGGCCAACGATCCAGAACCCCAATCGCTTCTGCTTGTCAGCAAGGGAGTCGGCCGTCCAAAGCTAACTCAACTTAACAGCGCGCAAGTTACTTTACATGCAACAATCACAATGCGTTCAATCTAAACATTGACTCAGTTGATTGTTTCCCAGACTGTCTCCAAGCATACAGTAAGAACGTCACAGGCAAACGGTGTCTCTTCTCTCCTCCCCGGAAATTCCCATTGACATGAGCGGGCGGAGGTGCTCGGGACGAATAACATCGCAGTTCGTCAAAACTTAGCCAGTGTCCCAAGACGGGGAGATCGGTAACTAGCTCAAGTAGTCTGGAGGCCTTTACGAATCACAACAAGGCAAATCCTAAGGTTAAGGCCAATTGCTCAAATTCCCGTTGTTCGGGCATCTCGTTGGTAGACATGAGATGTGATGAGGCACGGTGATGGACGATTGGCGGCATTTGGAGGAATCCTTTCGAACGGGTCACATTTCCCCGCCATTTCCCCCTCCTCATGGGGCGTGGAGAGATACTACGGAGTAGACAGATAGCATGCATTGCCTAGGTTGAAGGGCTCTCATGAAGATCCGCGACGTTGAGGTCTCTCGCTTCAGTTCGGCTGGAGATGCAGTGCGTGGAGTGGAAGTGGATGAATTAACCCAAACCGTTCTCATGCTTCCGCCATGGACAACGGACCCCCCAATCTTGCCATGCTGAAAGACAAACTCTGAAACATGGCTTGACCAGGTTTCGATGCACATAGCGACTGCTACTGGTTTCAATGCTTGGTCCACGATGGCGCTGTCTGGGTCTGTTTTGACTTTAAGCACATGTTAGCTTAAGAATCACTACTTTAGACGACCTCTTGCCGGGCATCATTGCCAGTAGGCTCGTCTGGATACTAGACGGGGTAGTTGGTGGAGTATACACTAAAAGTCTTATGCTACATGCTGCACGATGACATCTCTGTCTTCCGTTGGAGACTTTCAGTAACCGTTGAGATAGATGTTTCGATGCCTTAGGCCTTAAAGTGGCCAACTCCGTCACATTTAACATCGCACTACTTACATTATGATATGCCGATGTCGGCATCAACTTGAATGGTCTTGATCTCTCAAGTCTACATTGGTACATTGGTATTCCGTCAAAGGTACACAGGTCAGATGGCATGACACAGTCTGGCTTAGGTATATCTTAGACTCCTTGGCTTCTCGCAGGAAAATCCGGTTCATGCACCTCATGCTTACATGGCGTTGTGCAGATGGGTGGCATGCACACTTGCGGGAACCTGAAGACACGTCGGAGACTCGGTGATACTGTTGAGACTTGATGGCGGTGTATGCTGTGGTAGCTAGTCGTTGTGAAGCCATGCAAAAGTACCGAGCTTTCAGCTAGACCGCATATTGGAAAAGTGAACGCTGTCTGTCCAGGCTCGAAAACTATTGCGGACAGCAGACAGTATAGTACTTGTATTGGGGAAATCTCATTTGTTCTAGTAATATGATGGCTTCCCAATGATGGATCAACCGCGGTCGGTGATAGTTGTGGTTGAGCGAGTTAACGGACTACTTTATATTTTCATATGCATCCTCGGGATGTACTTGAACATCCGTCTTGACTAGGCCTTGTCCACCTTTCTCATCCCCATGAACTCCTGACTGGACTAGCATGCAAATACACACATCCTCGGCAGACTTTTTAGTGGAGTGCGCAGCCGGGAAGTACCCAGACATGAATGCCGGCAGCGTTGGGTCCTGCGAAGTCGCAACTATTATGGGGTCCCTTACATGCCCTCGTGTGGAAGCTCATTACCAGTGACCAGGGACGTGAAGCGCACGAACCCCTCCGCTTTCTTCCCAGTCTCCAGACCCTCCTCGCATCTTTCCCGTAGCCTCCTCACCCTTCCCACTCCTCGGTTGAAGCCCTTCTCACGGGTCCACGGTCCATTATGACGGTGCGGTCCTTTGCCTCTCCCATGATGTCGACCCCGACCTCCAAAGCGCTGGGTCTCCACCCATGCTCCCTCCAGGGTAGCCTTGTAGATATCGTACAGCTCCTCACGAAGCGAAGGGAACCGATCGAGTAAATCTTTGAGTTCGGCCGAGCTCCCTAGGGATTTGATATCGAGGCCGTCTTGGGCCTTAAGTGCTACCTCGCTGGTTGCATGCTCGTTCGATTGGCTGGCAGGCTGTTGAGGGTCGACGGTTGGACCGGTCGGTTTTGGTGATGGTGCTTTAGGTGCGCAGTAGATTTTATGGGACTGAGTGCATGCCAGGGAGCAACTAGAACGACGACAATTAGCCACGGGTATGTTCTTTCCTTCCCAGAGAGATAGATTGAAGCATAAACATACCTCATGAGCCCACATGTTGGGCATCGGTACTTCGAAGGCTCCGAGACGCAAACCTCACAAGTGCCGGGCATTTTATCGCCAGCGTCCCATCCAAACCTTGTGCCAACTGCGCGACAATCAAGCTCTGTAGGACATTGTCTTGCTTCGGCCGGTCGCAAGGGTCGTATGAAGCGAGCGTGATGGCGTGTGGACCAAGGATGGGGGGTGCCTTAAGTCCTACAGAATTGAAGGTTTCTGCAATGGAAAAGTTGATGATAAAAGAATGACAGCCGATAAGGAACCGTTCAGGGACGATCGTCTAGCGGACCGAAAAAGAAACAAACTCAGCCCAATAATGGGGGCTCACGTGAAGTGGCGCGGTCCATGACGACAATCGATCCCTATCCTCTCTTCAGATACGTACATATCTACGTACTAGTACCTGGAATATCTACAGGTGTCTCGCTAGATTTCCTCGCCAATTATTCGTCGTACGGTCTTGACAATGCCACGAAAGTGCGAATGATAATAGTCATCTTCCTACAGCGAGCGGTTCTCCGTCTGCAGTCTGCCCGCCCTAAATCTTATCAATCGTGGCAGACGGCTTGTGGGACGAAATTAATCGGCTATGGGAGGCATTCCTTTTCGATCAACCGGATGCAATACGTGCCGGCGACGAAAGGTCAAGGTAAGACCTATCTAGCAAGGCCCGAACAGGCTTGAATGCCCTTCGGAGACGGAATAGGAACGGTCATCTAAACTATGACTCTTTTGTGTAGTGTGACGAGGCAAAGCCGGAATGCAATCGATGCATCAAGAACGGCCATGTTTGTACCGGCTATGAACGGAAAAGGGTCTTTATCCATAAATCGTCCGAGGTCATAGATGATGGAGAACTGAAGCTCGTCCGTCGCCCGAAGTCGACCTCCGGGAAGATTCCCGACCGTCAATTAACACGAGTGGGGCCAGGCCTTCCCCGTTTGAATATCAATGCGGAGGTCCGATCACAGCTGCTCGCCTCCTTTGTGGGGGGCTTTCTTCCTTCGTCACGGCATTTGCAAGATGGAAAAGATTCAAACATCCTCAAAACACTTCCTGAACTATGTGGGAATAGTCCTCTGCTGGACAGAGCGCTTCTATCGCTCTCTTCGGCTTTTCTTGCGAAACAACACAAGGACGATCGTTTACTCGGATATAGTACGAAGCTCTATAACAATTCGATGGAGATCATGCAGGGCAAGATCAAATCCGGCAGAGGCCTGGGCCAAGATGTCCTATATACAACAGTCATATTCCAATTATACGAAGTCGGTGTTCCTATCCTCATCACCTTATACCTTTTCCTTCGCGGCTGGCCTAACATTTCGCAAAGTTAATCCACTCGTCACCCCCGGGATTTATGGCCTGGATAGCACATGTGCAAGGCAGTAACGCGATCATTAACCAGTGCAGCGTCCGCAAAAAAGAAAGTACTACTGAGAAGTTGTTCCACCGTCAACTTAAATTTGTTACTGTCAGTCTCCTTGGCTTCGGATTGATTAACCAGCTGATCCTCGTAACAACTGAGTGTTGCTGACATCGAATCGCTCAGTTATGTGATGCGGTGGGGAGACGCAAGGCCGCCACCCTCTATGAAGTTCTGACTACGCAACAACGCTTATCCCAGGGCTCAACGGAAGTTGAGCCAATCGATGAACTGACGGACCTTCTGGCCGAGTGCTCTGCTCTCATAGAACACGTAGACATTTTCATCGAGCATCTCCCTGCCAGCCCTAATGGCGTCAAGAACGACGGCGAGAAGTTACTGGATTCTTGCCTATCGCTAGAGGGAAGACTACACCAGACATGTCTCAGGATGCAGGAGAAACTTGGGACGCCATCGACAGGCCTTCATGATGTTCCCTTGCGGGAAGACATGAGAGCACACCTTGCCACCTCTTTATTCCCCGATCCCTTCCAATTCGCCTCCCTGGCCTGCGCTGAATCGCACCTCATCTATTGGGCCACCTTGATTATACTGTACCCGCTAGTTGATGAGCTTCTCGACGTCCTTGGCTATCGCGGAAATGACGTTACACCCTCGCAGTCCTGTGCCACTCATCCCCCGACGGGTGAACAGCGTTCCTTGGGCTTGGATGTGGCAACAGATTTCACAGCGCTGGCGGAGCATTATGCAGACGAGATTTGTCGATCCGTTATGTACTGTACACAGTCTGATATGAATACGCTGGGCGCGCAACACTTGCTTGCCCCTCTCAGCCAATCTGCGCAATTCTTTCAGGTCCACGAAGTAGCGCAAAAATACAGGTGGTGTCAGGGGGTGTTTGTGCTCCTTGACTCGCTAGGTCTGGGAATAGCTCCGCTGCTGAAGGACATGGTTTGGCCCCAATACCGCTCTGCTCGTCTACGTCGGTCTTTGTCATCCACGGGAAAGGTCTCATGATGAGCTTTTGCCTGTTCAATGCAATTTCGGTGCCAAGGTGGCAGGTCGCAGTTGAGCATGTCGGAATCACGCTTGGAAGTACGGGAACTACACCAAGTACATTTTGGAAGGCTACCAGCGATCGACCTACATAATATCAACCTAGGATTACCAACCGACATGTTGGTTTAATCATGACTAGAAAGCAAGCCAGTTGATGCGGGCAGCAGCAGCTCATTGTTGGTCTTGATGCAGGACAAGGTACTGGGCCGCGAGCGACAGGTCACCACATGTCTGCCTCTACACCACACGTCGACCTTAACGCTCACCAGCCAGGAATATTCAGGAAAGGCCGGTTTAACCGCGATAGGTTCACCAAGTAGCAGGTCCAAGCATGTGGCCTTTTGCACAACACAGGTATGACCGAAGCGGAACTCGGCTGAGAGGCATTTCTGTTACACCCATAATATATAGCGCTTAGTACTACGGGAATTTAGGCCCACCGTCAGATAGTCTACATTACACTGTACGAGTAACAAGCAGTAGAATTGAATGCCGAACAATTCCTGGGGCAGCGATGTCAAACTGCCGGTAGTTGATTGGTGGATCCCGCCCTCCATTTGTCAGCATTCTTCTGTCGGGAAGATCACGTGCCATCACATTGCGTCAGAGGAATCGAGTTTCCCATCGGCATTTCTGGTCGCTTTTCTTCTGAACAGGAACAAGTCCGATACCTGCCACTCTCCCCTCTTATCATCACAGCGTCAATATGTCTGTCAGCTCAGCGTCTGGAAATATGCTTAGGCGCACTCTCTTCAGCGTCAGATTGACTACGCAGCAACTGAATGCTGCGGAGTGCTCCTCCCGGATCGCCAAACCCGCGGTGTTCGGATCATACAGGAATGTCCACCGTTCGGCACGAGTGCCTGCTATCACCGCCTCAGAGGCTCGTCGCCGGCCGACCTTGAAGCCTCACCAGCACTCGCTCGTGCAGGCTCGCGTAAATGGACCATCGCCGTCCAGCAAGCGCACGATATTCATTCAGACAGAAAACACCCCGAACCCTGATGTAAGGCTTCCCGTGGCACAGCAGCACGAAGATCCCAATGAAAGAACAAGCATCTGACCCTTGTATGCGGAACCCAACAGGCATTGAAGTTCATCCCTAACCACCGTGTCCTCCCCGAGAATTTCCCGACCACCTTCCTCGAATACCTGTCCCCCCGCTCTACCCTCGCTCCTCCGCACCCCTCTCCCTTGGCAGCCAGCTTGCTCAATGTCGACGGTGTCACCTCTGTATTTTACGGGCCTGACTTCATCACCGTAACCAAGGCGACCGACTCCAACTGGGCGCACATCAAGCCCGAGATCTTCAGTCTCATCACTCAGGCCGTGACCTCGGGCGAGGCGATCGTGAACACCGTTGCCAAGACTGGTGAGAGTGGCCAGGAAGGTGGCGAATCGGAGTCTCTGGCCTACGAGGAAGAGGAAGACGAGGTGATTGGCATGATCAAGGAGCTTTTGGACACTAGGATCCGGCCTGCCATTCAGGAAGACGGTGGCGACATTGAGTTCCGCGGCTTTGAGAACGGTATTGTCTTGTTGAAGCTGCGCGGTGCTTGCCGGACCTGCGATTCGAGTACCGTGACGCTGCGTAACGGTATTGAGTCCATGCTCATGCACTATGTGAGTATCACACTACCTGCATGCATATTGAAAATAGAGTTTGACTGATTGTGTGTCTTTTCGCCTACAGATCGAAGAAGTTCAAGGAGTCGAGCAAGTGCTAGACCAAGAAGAGGAGATTTCGATGCACGAGTTCGCCAGATTCGAGGAAAAGCTGCGCCAGCAGAAGGGCGCTGCCGCTACTGCCTCGACGGGCGGCAAGGGAACGTTGGATTCGGCCCCTTGAACACCCTCCTATTTCACCTACTATATTTAATCACTTCTATTTCATGTGTATTGTATTTTTGACGTCGGATATACTACCATCTGGGTTACGGTCCATAGAAAGCTTTGCCAGACAATGCTCAAACATCTCCCCTCTATCAGTATACCACTCAAGCAAGAATATCCGTAATGCTTACAAGCCCCAATCATGTTTAATATTGATGTATTCCAATGACCCATACGTACTAGACGGTCAAATGAATAAAACCCACCTTCCCCCCCTAACCCTCCAAGTCCGAGAGAGACACCACCCTAGGAAAAGACCTCAACCGAGCCGAGGATATCACATTCACACACACATCCACACACTCCGTACAAACTACCGAAATCCAACCTGCATCTGTGCGTAGCCCAGCCCAGCCCACAGTAGTATTATGTGTGTGTGCGCGACAAACCTAACTAACATACCTAACTAACCTACCAACCCACCAGACTACACACTAGTTACATACTAAGTGTAACACTAACAGTGGAACTGGACTGCTCTTAGTAGCGGCAGAGATCATCGGCTTCGGGGGGAATCGGGAAATGGAGACAGGATTTTAGTCTCCACTGATTGTTTGGTCCGGTCTGGTTAGTTTATTCGGACTTGGTGAAGAAGTTTGGTGGTATATTGTGTTGGGAGGAGTGTTGTTGATGTGGGGTTGAGGGATTGAGGTGTGGTGTCAGACCGATTGGTATACTGTAAGTACCTCCTCTACTTTAGACATTTTGAAGTGAGGTTGGGGAAGGGTAAGTACTTAGTACTGCTTAGTATGTGCTTGTGTATATGGTTGGTATTGTTGATGGAGTGTCCATGTGACTTTGATATTTACCATCATCCACTGCCCGAATATGATAGCAAATTGGTTCCTCTGGTATTTCTTATCCATTGCACGTACTTAGTAAGTCTCCGAATAAAGAAGAGTTGACATACGATAAAGTCGCCTTAAGCTAACTAAGTAACTATATCAAGCCGAACCGTCATCTCCTTGATGCAACTGTCATCAACGGTGGCTAAGATCATCATCCTCCGGTCAACTATATACTTTTTAGGCTGTAGCAGATCGTGTAGGCTTGATCAATACGTATTCTCTTTTTCCGAGATTATCAAAGTTGGGTTATATGCCGAGATCGGTCCGAAACGCGTCATAGATATCTGCTGATATGAAGGTCTGCAGTTAATAAGAATTCCGACTAAGCATACTAGGCTACGATTATTTCGGGAAGGCTTGTTGGTGGCTTACTAGTAGAAGATCGATGGGCTGACTGGTCGTGTGGTACAGACAAATTCTTCTGAAACATGAGGAAGCAGCTCAATCGCTATGTTTGTTTGATATATAGTGAGAGAACTTCTGCAAGACGAGGTCTGAAACGCAGAATAGCAACTGCTAGCAGCTACCTTTGCGCTCATCTAGAGAAAGAGCAAGAATAGACAACTGGATGAGGGTATGGGGGGTTGTAGTATGAGGTGCGGAATGCATGCCGTGAGTGGAATTAGAGCGTCGGTGGGAAGTGAGGTAAGAGAATCTGAATGGGAAAAAAAAAAAAAAAAAAAAAAAAAAAAAAAAAAAAGAAAAGAAAAGAAAAGAAAAGAAAAGAAAAGAAAGAAAAATAAATAAATAAAAGAAAAGATCAACTTCCAAAAGCAAAAGAAAAGGGACGATACATGGAAATGTGTTGGAAGGTGATGCCCAGTCCCCCGGAGGTAAGGGAGCGACCAGTGATGAGATACAAACCACCTGATACTAGGGACATGATTCAGCCATGATGCTTACTGTCTGTACCCCAGTTCTCTTACTCTTCTACTAATCAGCACAAGATGGTATGCAAGGTGGTTCAACTGCCTCAGTCTTACGGGTGATGCCACGCAGTCAACCAGACATCTCATGACGGCAGCATCCCTAGCCCACGCGAGCATAGCACTGCAGGATGTACAGACTGATGGAAGATGATTAGATCGGCACTCTTCGGCGAAAGGCATCTCGGACAATATGTCCACCTGGTCAGCAAAACCGAACTGGAATGGGCTGGACTTGCTCTAGGCTCTTCGATAACCCTGGATAAGGAAGAGCTGTCAGGGTCGGACTCCTGACACGACGCAACCTTAATCGGGGCATCTTCCTAGTCCGTTATGAATAGATGACACTCATGACAGTTCGGAATCAGCCAGACGATCGATCGATCCCTCTGGGGTAGAATCCATAGTAGGAAACATGTCCAACTTGAACACAATGGAAGGCGATATGTTCTGCTCTTCGGAACCGAGATACGAAGAGCCACGCATCAGTGCCACAGCTAGTGGTGGGGTATGAGGGGGGGAGAAGATGTTAGTGAACTCCGCTGTGGCTGTAGCCCAATCGGACATGCAGACAAGTCAGATGAGGATATCCCCGAGTCCCGCTAATCATGTTGGTCCCTGTAGCGCAAGTCTAGAGTGATCCGTGGGCCGGGGTTCAAGCCTCATCGCTTACGGGAGAAGGGGGTCTATGATTAATGGAGACTGGACCCGGATCTCGTTCCCTGGGAGTGTCGCATCTTACTCGCGAGGTTCAAGAGTAATTTACGATCGGACATTCCATGTGCGGAATCCGAGCGGATTCCGAATTGACTATTCTGCATATCGGTGTGTATGTGAGTGTGTGGTGAAGAAAGTTCAAGGGGGGGATGGGGAAGGAGAAGTTACAATAACAACAATAGCAGAAAATGGCAGGGCAGACGAGAAGAGACAGGGTTGGCTGGCAACCGAACGCGGGAAAGCTCTCTCCGCAATTTCTAGCGGAGACGATCCTGCAAAAGGAATGGACTCCATGGCAGGATGAGGCATTGATTGGATCGCCATCCCTTGCCTCCTAGCTAGTTCAGTTCTTCCCCCGCAGTCAGGTGCATGGCTTTTTTTCTTCTTCTTCTATTGTATTGGAGGGCAGGCGGAAGAGGAGGGGGGGGGGGGGGGGAAGACAGGGAGATGTTCCCATTCGAGTACTAATCCAGGGAGGAGAAGAAGGAAGAGAAAAACGGGGATGAGCATGTTCGGTCAGACTAAAACTGAGTCTACTACAGACTACTACTAGTCAGGGAAAAGTAAGAGAGGGAGGTGCATTTGCTGCAAGACCAATGTATGGAGGGTCATCATTACCTTTTTGCCCATCGTTCAGGTTCAAGGTACGCGCAGCAATCGGGAGGGGAAGAGAGAAGGAGAAGCGAACTAAGGTTGAGGGTGATCGCGTTGATTCGCGTTGGTTTGGACCCGCGGCCAGGATTGCCGTGTAACCTAACGCCAGTATGACGTTGACGAATTCCCAGTGCGGAATGACACAAAGAAACCTACTAGGAAAATTCCATCCATGCATGAAAGAAAATGAAAAGAGAAGAAGAATAAAATAAAATAATTTGGCACGAGAAACTGTGCCAAGGGGGAGACAAGAGCGAAACCATTATGAAATGGAAATTATGGTATATTATTCTGTGTAGTCAGTGTCTCTTGAATATTTTTCGGAATTTATTGATATTTTCTTGATTTTTTTTTTTTTCTTTGGCTATAACTCTTCCCACCTCCGCATAGTATACACAGCAATAAGAAGTACAATACCCCTACTCTCCCCTGCTACTCTCGTGGCGTTTCTGCCGTCACTTTCGACCCTGGATAGCTGTGTATTATTGTCGACTAAACATACTATCAGCATATAAACCCTGCCAATAATGTCGTCGTTGGCGGTCGCATATGATGACCACCGAACCCTGGGAATTGAGGATTGGATTTCGGGGGTTTCATGGTGCACCGTTGTTTGGAACCGCTGCGGCCGTGAAATCCCTCCAATTCTCCTTCGGGGATTCAACAGGATAGCCCAACAGCCTGATCCTCCCCGTTCATCCCTCTTTCTGGGTTGCGCCCAAGCTCCTTCAGTGTTCCAGTCTTTCCCCTCCCCTCTCCCCAGCCTCCACAGCCCCATCGCGGGTTGGATCGGGCGATTCCTCAACAAGATTCTAACCCCCAGGTTCTTGAGCCCGATAGGGTTTGAACGGCATTGCGTTCCCTCTATCTATATAGTTGATCTTGTTGAAGGAAGTAGCAGAAGTTTAGTCATTTTTGTACCTGATCTGTCAAAATAAATTTTAGTTGGTTAGCTCCTATACGCTAATTTCTATCAGGGTAGTATCTGTCTTAGTGGTAGTAGCTCCGTGAGTAGAAGAAGTAATTAAAGAAAAGCCCCGCTTCAGGGTCAACGGGGGAAAGAGGAGAGGAGGAGAAAAAAAAAGACAAAAAAGGGAAAAAAGAAAAGGAAATGGACCAGGCCGCCAGTCGCAAATCGGGCGATGCTCAGAGGGCGACCGGGGCATTTTTGTCTAGGCCAGTCAAAAAGCGCGGAGGATCTTCGACTTGACCTCCAGAGGCCCGCCCGGCCCACTCACGGGCGTTCCATCGACGGCCGACTGGTTCTTGCTGCTCTACTCTCCTCTTTTGCTGCTGGTCGCCTGCTGCCTGTCATACTGCTCCTGCTGCTGCTGCTTGCTGCTACATACGGACTTTCAATCACTACTATGTACAGTAAGAACCCCCTTCCTCAATTTCTTCCTTTTCCCCCTCCTCTTGCCCCAGTTTTTTATTTCCTGGATTTAATAATATTTTTTTTTCCCTTTTCTAAACTCTTCAGGGTAGTCAGATTGAAAGTTGTGCAGGAGTTGAGAGTCTATTACCCCGTCAATCCTCCCCGGTTGTCTCTTTTCTCTCCTCTTCGTCCTTTTTTTGTTGTTGAAGCACTCGAGAATCCTTTCCCCATCTTGCGGCCTATGGTTCCGTACCGTATCTAGACTCACGTCGATTTTCTTACCCCGCCTTGGAGCGATAAATTGATCGTATGCTCCAGGTACGTAGTCGCCCCCCTTAGCCGTGGTTAGTGTGGATGGAGGTAAAAGGTACCGGGCCACAATCGTTCACTTGTACTTTGCTTTCACCACGGACTTGAAGGTTGGCACTGCTGGTAAGGACCAGGATAAAAAGAACCACAACCACGACCACTTCCTCCTTTTTCCCTCCAATCCCTTTCTCCTCCCCCCATAAAACTATACTTGCTCGGTCATAGCTCAACCTTTCACACCCTCGACACCAACCTTCAACCCGCGCCACTGCTGCTCGGTGCTCCGACCCGTGGCTCGCTGTTTTCTCCTCCTGGCTCGTCTCGTCCAGTGGCCTGAGGTCGACTTTGAACTAGTCCAGAGCTACCTCCCTTAGCTTGCATTAATATTATCCTCCTACGCAACTTACGACTGTACAACCTTGCCTTCTCCTCTTTCCTCCTACCACCGTGCTAACTCTCGGTCCTGATCATCATCTCTTCTTCTCTCTTTCCCCTTCTTCTCTTCCCTTCTCCTCCACAAACTACTACTTAATTGTCACTCTCACTACTTCCCACTACTATCCTCCCTGTTGCTCCTTGCCGCCTTTCTGTCTCCCTCCCTCTTGGCCCACTCTCGATAAGGCTTGCGATCACACCACACCCCATCCCCGGCTGAAGATCGTCATCGGTCAAGCAACGTTGCAGAAGCCACACTGCCACTCCTGTCTGTCTCTGCGACCTGCGCCGCTCTGCGATCCGCACACACACACACACACACACACACACATACTCTCTCACTCTTTCTTTAACGCCCGCGTCCCCCAATCCACCCTTCTTGCGCCGTGACAAGCTCGGGATTAATAAGGGGCCTAACTGTCAACCTAATTCGCTTTGGTCGGGTCGCAGATTATTTTCTGGCCTTCGACGGGCTCTCTCGCTCCCCTTGCTGCTGTGATCGTCGCTCGTCAGTCTCAAGATGCGCTGCTCTTGACGAGATCTGCCCATAGTTACTGGTGCCATTTTGCCTGCCAACGTTATCGGTCTATGGTCACGCTACCGTCTCCCCATCCCGCACACCTCTTGATCCCTTTCATCGCGACTCGACATACAGTGAGGTCATAGGTCTTCTCGAGCGACGTACCGCGAATAACCCCTCCGAATTACCACCACCATCACTCCAAAAAAAAAAGTTATAACTGGAAACGGAAAGAACAAACATATTCTTCTGTTGGTCTGGTGGGATTGCCCCTCTAGGCTCGCCTCGATTCTCGCCTTTCGACTGGTCGCAAAGCGCCATTTTACACAATACCTTCTTTGATTAGACAGAAGCCTGGTCGCTTCGCCTGGAGAACAATCTCCAGTTACAACTGGGACGGATTTTACGATCGGGTCGATTGCTTGTGTTTTATGTTGGATAGACGGTACAAAAAATTGCGTTTTATTCTCTGTTAGATTGGTAAGTGAATCCTCATGCTCCGTGCCTAATACCGCTCGTCCGGGGACAATGTGCTGACTACACGGGGTGGCGCAAACAGACGCGATCACGATTTTCTGCGATTTCTACTTGTCTGGGACGATCGGCGATACCCAAATCTTTATACTGGTTCCGGGCTTGACCTGAATTTGTACTTTTTCCACAAGGTACGTATATATTTCTCAGTATCTATATGTGTGGTTCGCGTTGCGATCGTGGTCCGTGGCCTGGCCTTCCCCGCAATTTCCCCGGAGAGCTATCTACTATATGGTCCCTCGACTGTTCCATTTGTTACCACTGGCCTCGAGCAAGCGTATGACGCGAAGCTCTTAGCTCATCCGAAATAAGTACGGACGAACGGGCAGTTGTGTGCTTTCTCCAGCCTCAGGTTCAGTGGCTCCTCTAAGACAATTTCCCCGGGAAGTTTCTGAACCAGACAGCCCCTGGAATCCAGACATGAAAATAGCATGATCCCATTGAGCGCATGTGAAACGGGATTCTACTGGGTTTTCTGGGTTTTGATCATATGATCCGCAGGAAGCTCCTGAGGCTGGCGTTTTCCAGGCCCATGGGTGGCTGCCCGTCTCGCCACCCACAGCTGCTTCCCCCAAAACTTACTCAGCATACACGAGCTACACCTGGGCTTGTCAGGCTTCCATGACTCTTATTTCCTTTTGCTCGGCGAATCCCATTCCCCGGTTGAATCCCTCGTCCCTCTTACACTTTGACTTTTATATTCCTCCCTCCAGCATTGGACTGTCCCAGCTTTTGTGCATCTACCTCAAACAACCATCAGCCTGGGCTAACTTATCATGCCGCAAGCAATAGCTTATACCTCTAGGAGCTCTTATCTCAGACGGAATAATTTACTCCAGACACGGTGGTTTCTGATTTACTATTAGAGTGTTTTTGCCTCGTTCATTTTCGCCCACTCGCTCTGAATCGAAGGTAACCCCTCCTCTTGGCTGTTATTTGCCGTGCGGCACTTACCGGCTTTGAGTGAATATCTTGGACTTTTCATTGTCTTCTGAAGAGGCCAAGCGTTCGTTACACGGATCGAGTCATTCACGATCTAATATCCTCTGACGTCAGTTGTCTCTGTAAGTGAACCCCAACAATGGCTCTATATATCTTGATCTTATCTCTTTCATCTTGCTCTCCTCTCCGCCTTGCGACGTCTACTTCCTTACTCTCAAACATTTCTTCAAACCACTCCTCTCATCTCAGCCCATGTTGAATTTTCTATCAGTCGGAACTTACTGACAATTTCATGGCCAGTGTACTTTGTGTCTTGCTATACGCCGTCTTCCAGTTTTTATCAAAACATCATGGCTGCGCCACCCGGCAAATCCACTGCGCAGGCGGCCAAGCCTGTCACTTCGTCGACTCCGACCAGTAACGTGTCCGCCAGGCTAGAGAAAACCCACCCTGGCGTTCGCCGATCCACCCCTGATTCCGAGGCTTTGGCGTCCTCTGATGACGATGGAGACCATTCACAGCATGTCGCCACATCTACGAGCATGCCAGCGCCCAAACCTGCTCGCCGTACGTCATGGCTAAATGAAATTCCAGCTACCGCGACCAGAAAGGCATCATTGACCACTAGTGGTCCCTTGTCCACTGGAGCCTCTAACCCAAGCAGTCCTGCTACCGACCAATCTGGATGGACGAACACGAGTCCTGGTATCGGTAGCTCCATTCCCTGGAACCATGTAGGGAACCCTTCCTTTCCCTGGGGCACTGGTATCTGGAATACCGAGTCTCGGAAGGAGCCTCCGCCGCGGCTTGCGGAAATCGTCCCATCTCCGACCATGTCCAACCCCTCTACTGCGGGCAATTATTTCACAGAGGAAATACTGAGCCCTACGACTCGTACGACCGCTGGCGAATCGGCTATCCCATTCTCAATTCCTCTGCATCCGACTCCTAAAACCTATCGGTCGCAGTCATACTCGGTAGGTCAGTTGGATCCTGAGTTCCTGAGCTTCATGGCGAACAAGTCGTCAACACCTTACTCTGGCGGTCGTCCTCGTAACGGCAGCCAATTCTCCGCCTTACAGCATCGGTCATCGCGGCCTAGTCTTCTGGGGG